AGGGGTTTGCTATGTAACAGACAGAGGGCGGGGCTCATCTCCATGGGGCCAAAGTTTATTATGCAATAAGTGGGGGAGTGGATGTCTCACCACAAGGAAAAAAGCTTCCTAGGTGACAGGGAGTGTGGTGAGAGAAGGCACCTGCAACCTGCAGAACCCAGGGAAGAAGATGACAATGCTGGTGTCCTGCTTCCTCCTGCTTCTTATTCCACATGTCCTTGGTCAGCACCTTGGAGTCGTCAGAGTCACCCCAGAGAAGGGAGGAGATTACTGCTTTCTCTTCCCTTCTCACTGGATGCAATCAGTGCAGGATACGAATAGCAAAACCAAATGGCTCCAGCCACATCAGGAACTAACATATGCAACGTTGTGTTGTCTTCCTTCCTCCTTCGGTGAGGATGACTGTGATGGTGGGGGCCACAGCACTAGAATTGCCTCAGTGAGGAAGGGTAATTGCAACTTATTTGAGAATGCCAGACTCCAGAGAATAAATGGAACCCACATTCAATTAATCCTTGGTGGAGATGCCCCAATATCCCTCAGAGGCGGCAGTGGATTGGGCGCCATCTGGGGTCACTGTGAGGAGACCATTATTCCTGTAAAACTACTCAGTGACATGGACATAATCTATTTATTCTTCAAATACTTGGGCAGGCTCTTGGGATACAACATGGGGATCATGTTTGTCCTTGCAGTAGGCACTGTCATCACTGGAGGCTACTGGGCAGGAAATACAGAAAAGAAAAGGCAGCAATACATGAAGTGGAGATGCAAAAATGAAGAAGATTTTGATGATGTAACAATTGACCCTGATGTCCTCTTTATCTGTGCAAGTGTAGTAATATCTTCCTTCATGCTGCTTGCTCTCTACTTCTTCTATGATCACTTAGCGAACATCATGATTGGATGTTTCAGCCTCTACGCATCCCTTGGGCTTTACAGTTGTTTGTCTCCCTGGGTGAACAAACTACCATTTGGAGAATACAAACTCCATTTCCCATATTTTCACAATGGACCACAAGTCAGAACATTTTTCCTGGCAGGATTTTCTGGCTCCATCAGTGTCACATGGATGATCTTCAGAAATGAGGATCAGTGGGCCTGGGTCCTACAAGACTTTCTAGGAATCTCGATCTGCCTCTATGTTCTAAAAACAGTCCGCATGCCTACACTGAAGAACTGCAGTTTGTTTCTAGCTGTTCTTTTGGTCTATGATGTGTTTTTTGTATTTATCACTCCTTTTTTAACCAAGTCTGGGGAGAGCATAATGAAAGTGGCAGCTCTTGGACCATCTGACATTGCCAATCATGAAAAGATCCCCTTTCTGTTGAAAGTTCCGATATTATCCTCTGCATCAACCTTTGATGAAAGCCCCTTTACTATCCTTGGTCTTGGTGACATTGTAATTCCTGGTTTCCTGATAGCCTACTGTCACAGATTTGATGTTCAGAAGCATTCCTCCAGAATCTACTTTGCATCTTCTACTATAGCCTATAGCTATGGTCTCCTGGTGACCTTTGTAGTGTCAGCATTAATGCAAAAGGGTCAGCCAGCTCTCCTCTACTTGGTGCCCTTTACGCTTACCACTAGCCTTGTTATTGCTCTTTTGCGCAAGGAACTCACAATTTTTTGGACAGGCACTGGTTTTACAAACGAATTATCTCGTTCTTCCTCAAGGATAGCTATCAGCTATCCAGATACCCCAAGAGATTCAAATATACAAGTATGTCAACAAGAAAGGGAAGAAAAACTGATCAATTTCACATTCAGTGAAGAACAGCTAGATAACTCCATTCTAGTGACAGAAAAATTGACTAATCTCAACATCTACATTGAACAGAATTCAGACTCCATACTATGTAAAGAAGAACAAATCAATCAACATGATGGCAAGCACAAGAGAGACATTCATAAAGCAGAAAAGAATCAGTTAGACTCTATGACAGAGAAAAAGGATCCAGAGATGTACCCAGAAAACCTCAACATGTAAGTGATGCTGGTTTTGCAATCATTGAAGAGTCCCTGGAAAATGGATCCAAAATGCAGGAACATTCAATCTCAGTGTGGTAATAAACCTATAAAATGTAAATCATCTTTGTGAAAAGCAGTGCTTTATTGTGTATGCATGCAACAGTTTTAACTAGATATTTGTACTATTTTGTTGCTGATGTCAGAAAGTGTCAAAGATATTTTTCAAGCCATTTTATTAATATTATTTTTAAAAGAAAAGGATAATCACAAAGGACAGTACCCACTTTTATATAATTAATTCTAGGTAAGAATGATATCAATGTAAATGAACACACTGAAATAGTGGATTTGTTGTACAACAATGCAACCGTAGCAAACAAAACAGGAATCAATTAATGAAATAATAAAAACACAACTATAAAGTAAAAAGGAAAGTGGGCTACTCAATATGGACACAATATGAAAGAATTTTCACAGGCTATGTCTAGACTACGCTGAAGTTTCGAAAGAAGATATGCAAATTCCAAATTTGCATATCTTCTTCCAATCTCACTTTCACTCTTGAAAGCTCAGCTTTTGAAAGTAGTTGGGATGCAGTTTTTTTTGGCACCCCCCCTTTTTAGAAAAGCCACTCTTCCTCAAAAAATGAGGTTTATGCAGCTTTTTGGAAAGGGGGTAGGGTTGCTGAAAAAACCGCGTCCCAGCTACTTTCACTTTAGA